CTGCGCTCGAAGGGGAGGATTTGAACAAATGGCCAAAGAAACCTTGTGGGAGCATTAGAATATGCCTTTTTCTTGGTTGCTGGATGGTGCTTTCCAGGCTTGATGCATATATCCAAAATATCATATCGAAATTGTAAACTTGAGAGATGTAAAGTTTTTATTTTTTTTTTTGAATGAGATGCGAGTCTCGCTCCTGTCCGCCAGGTCGGGAATGCAGTGGCTCACTCTTGGCCTCCTGTAAGCTTCCGCCATCCCCCTGGGTCACGGCCATTCTCCTGCTCAGCCTCCAAGTACTGAGAGCTACAGGCGGCCTCCACCACCACCTGGGCTAATTTGTTTGTATTTTTAGTTAGATCGGGGATTTCACCGGTGCTTGAGGCCAGGAGGATGCGTCTCAATCTCCTGACCTTTGTGAGTCACCCAAGCCTCGGCTTCCCAAGTGCTGGGATTACAGGCATGGGAGCGCCACGCCCGGCCTGAAGTATGTAAAATTATATATATAACAGTTATACCTCAGCGAGAGCTGTTTAAAATACATTACCCAACAAAAACTGATACGTAGTTGTAGTCAATTAGACTCCCTCCTCCCACTAGAGACTTCAGAGCAAAAGCCCTGTGTGGAGGTTAGAGGTCATAAGTGTTATATACTGTTCAGTACACCAGGAAGGAGAAACAATTTTGAATTTGTGGCTCCTGATAACATACCTTCCAAACACAGAAAACAAAGATTGGCAGAACCATAAGGGAGAAAGATAAACTCACTCTCATAATGGGAGTTTTTGAAGCATACCTGTCAGTTATTGATAGATTAAAGTAGATGGAAAAAATCACGCCATTCTCCTGCCTCAGCCTCCCAAAGAGCTGGGACTATAGGCACCCGCCACCACGCCCAGCTAATTTTTTGTATTTTTAGTAGAGACGGGGTTTCACCATGTCAGCCAGGATGGTCTCAATCTCCTGACCATGATCCACTGCTTAGGCCTCCCAAAGTGTTGGGATTACAGGCGTGAGCCACCGCGCCAGGCCAGATCATGAGTTTTAAATTTTGATGAGGTTCAACCTAGTACTTTGTTCTTTTACAGATCATGCTGTTGGTGTCTTATCTAAAAAATCATTGCCTAACTCAAGGGCGCAAAGGTTTTCTTCTAGAAGGTTTATAGTTTTAAAATTTTACTTTAGATCTATACTCCATTTTTAGTTAATTTTTGTATATGGTAAAAAGTATGGAAGTTCATTTTTTGTTTGTTTGCTTGTTTGTTTTGAGATGGAGTTTCATTCTTGTTGCTCAAGTTGGAGTGCAATGGCATGATCTTGGTTCACCACAACCTCCGCCTCCCAGGTTTAAGCGATTCTCCTGCCTCAGCCTCCTGAGTAGCTGAGATTACAGGCGTGCGCCACCATGCCTGGCTAATTTAGTATGTTTAATAGAGACGGGGTTTCTCCATGTTGATCAGGCTGGTCTCGAACTCCTGACCTCAGGTGATCTGCCCACCTCAGCCTCCCAAAGTGCTGGGATTACAGGTGTGAGCCACCGTGACCGGCCTGGAAGTTCACCTGTATGCACATGAATATCCAATTGTTCCAGCAATTTGTTGAAAAGACTAAACTTCAGCTAGCGCTAGCCTTCCCTTATGTCTTCTTCTTTTTCAAGGCCGTTTTGGCTATTCCAAATCTTCTGCATTTCTGTATAAATTTTAGAACCTGTTTTGTCAATTTTTACAGAAAAGTTTGCTGGGATTTCTGACTCATGACCATAGTATAGCTTTTAATCCATTTTCTGACTCATGACCATGATATAGCTCTTCATTTAATCAGATCTTCTTTCTCTTCACCCGTGTTTGATGGTTTTCTCAGTACAGGTCTATTATTCTGTTTTTAGATTTTCCCTAACAAGTTCATATTTTTGATGATATTGAAAATGGGGTCCTGAAAATCTTCATTTCTGTTTGTTGGTAGTTGTTGGTCTCCCCCCTAATCTTTATTTCCTTATATTTCTCTTATAACTAGCACAGCACTGGGTTCTTAAACTCCAGTCATGCTTTCTAACCGAAGAGCTTGGTCCCTGCTGGCTGTGACTCCTGAAGCATTCAGGTTAATTCACATGCTCTCGTTTAGAACTTTCCAACTGTTCTACTTTTTCTATCATTTGTCTTTCTTGCCTACATGTGGACTAACCTACTTCCCTCTACATTCTAATGCCCCAACCCCAATTAATCGGGAAGTTACTGAATTGTTTCTATTATTTTAATAGGCCCTCTACAAATTTTAACATGTATATTTAACTTA